CTTTATAATCCTCCCTCCTACCATTAAAAACAAATAGACATACAAAAACAAAAACACCTCCCAAGATCTTGTGCTATCTACAAGAGCAAAGTACCTGCTTACTGGAGTTTTCCCTTTAAATGGAATCAGGAAATACAGAAGTGTACCCTAATCTTGACTGTCACTTCTTTCAGATACTGGAATTCCAGATACTGAAATAGAAAACAATGGGACTCCTCATGATAGCGCTGCAATGCAAGGTATAGTAAGCACATACTTAAATGTGACCCTGGGGGTGGGGTAGGGGGTGAGCTCCTATATTGATATTCTTCATAAGTAATATAAGTAAGTTTTAACTCTTCTTACTTTATGACAGAAGAAACAATTTGCAGTGTTTTTTGAGAAAAAGCATATACTTGACATGTCTTTTAAAAACCCAATAACAGTAAGGATACTTAGGGACTAATAACTTTACATATACAATGTGAGCAAATTATGTTTAGCTGTTAAAAGGATAAACATTTATGTGTTAGACAAATTCTAAAAATGCATAAATAAGTGTATAATTCCATGAGTTTTTTTTTAACTTCACTACTGTCTGTAAAAGCCACAGGTACAATAATTTGTAACCTCTCAATATTTTAAAGGTGTTCTAGACAAGATTTTTTATCAACCTTTAAATTTTGATGTTAATACTAGAAACCACCTAAATATGGAAATAAGAACATGACTTGTAATTCATGATTTATAGGATTCCCATAAATGCTTAGATACTTTAAAATCTTTAAAATATTTACTAGTAAGAAAACAGCTGAAACAAATCAATATAGAGTCTCCCTGGAGTGCGAAAGCACCTAAAAATTAAAATTTAATTTGACCCGTGGAAATTTTCCAGTGTGATCTTAGTATATATTTCTAGCCCTTTATATGCAGATTATATTTATTTTCACATTGATTGTAATAAAATGTCTCATTTTAATAAAAAAGAAAAAAAACACATATGTATGAAGAAACTATTTCCTAACTTTGAAAAACAAAGACAACCATGGATATGTTGCTTGCTGGAGGTTTAATGAGTGACTTTCTGCTGTGTGAGGACTGGATCTAGATGAAGGCAACAGAACTAGATGTGACCAAAAGATCAATTTGGGTTCACCTGAGGGTCATCATTTTATGTGGCAGATTCAGAAAATTTAGAAACTCCCATTCATGTAGTTTTACAAATCATCTTTACAAAACCAGGAATGTCAGAGCTTATGGATCTTCTGATAATACCTGATTCTGCTGCAGCTGGGTAAACCTAACTAATGAATTAACTACGTTAGGGTGAAAGCATGCACGCTTAGCTCATTTGCAGTTTCTTATCCCCTTTTTTGCTTGCCTGCTTTCTTCTCTCAGCTTAAAGGCTGTGTCTATGTGAGAAAGGTCAATTTGAATGGAATTCAATGTTTGTTCAATCAATTCACCACAGCTAAATTAATTAAGAAAAGTCCCACTAGTTGTCCTGGTATTTGAGGTTACCATCACATACAAGAGCTATGGTAGCAATGAATAGCCTGAAGCATTTGATCCCTTCTGAATTAGTGACACACAATTATAGAAAGTCTTTAAGGAGCATTGAGTTTGACTGTGCCCTGCACTCAGAGGGATGTAAGATCAGCTTTGGAACTAGAGAAGGTAAACCAAATACACCACTAGTGAGTTTTACCTTTATTATCCTTTAATTCTGCATCTCCAATTCATTGCTGTTTGTTTAATTTATACGATGTCTTTAGTTCACAATAGAAACATCTTTCCAAACTCTGAGATAAATACAAGCTTGTGAACTGTCCTAAAGTTATTTCATTTCCATGCAACAAACAATATCTTATTCATGAGCAGTCAATTAGGTGATATAAGCAAAAGGTAGATTTACTCTCCATTTAGCTCCAGGATTTTTTTTGAAGTCTGCAGAGAATGGCTTTTGTGTATTAACTTGTACTTAAGGAATGACACATTTAATATTTGTTTTCACTGAGCATACTTTTAATAAGTTCTACTAGTTTTTGCAGGCTAAACATGAGAGAATTAGATGTACCTTTAAAGAGATTGGGATAGAACTTATTTTAAAGGAAGGAAATTGACTTTTATTATTTTTTTTCAAACTACAAATCAGATTGTCTAGCATGTGTGGTCAATATTATCTATATATGGTAAAATATGGTGGGTTAATGATTCCTTATTGAATTTTTGCCTTTTAGATTATATTAAATAATGTTCTTGAGAAATATGATAAAAATGGAGAAGTCCACATTTTCCCCTCTCTTAGGACCACTGTAAATGATAATGCTCCCATCATTACTTTACAGAAAACCATAGTGAATGTCTTGTGTTAATATGACAGTTGAATCACAATTTAATATCAAAAAGATTATTTTTGAGCAAAAATAATTTATTATGTTAGCCAGGGCAATAGGTACCTGAAAATATTATCAGAACTAATCTTAAATATAGTTCATCAAATCGATCAGGTCAAATAATTGCCTAAAAATTCCCATTTTCCCTGTTATTTGAGATGCTCAGAATTGAAAGATTCCTTTTGTATGTGTCTATGAACCTCAGAAAATATATGATGCTTGGAAAACATGAAATGTAAGTTTGCCCGTTATTTTCCCATTCTTCCTAATAAGTTTGCTTTTGTGAGTTACAGTTATGTTGAGACTTATTTTGACACTGTTTTCATCTTTTTCATGTCCCTCAATTACCCATTTTTTTTTAACTTGGAAGATTATTTTCTACCATTGTTTGGGAGAGTCAAATTCATGCATACCAATAGGATGTCATTTCCAAAACTCATCTTCATCACAGCAAAAGGATTCCAGCATCAGTGAAGTCCTTTCTCTTCCTATTGTCAATAGCTCTGCTGGGTAGAAATCTATCTTTCACCTAGAGCTCTCCCTTTGAAATTCAATTAGTTCCACTGTGACATCTCCTTAAGAGTATTTAAAGGAGACTTGGAAAAATTTAGCATGGCCACCCTTAGAAGCAAAAAAGCCATATACAGTTTTATGATAATTTGTAAGTAGATTTTAGTGCAGACAACTGCATGCACCAGGATTCTTATATGTATTATATATCCTTTCAGCTTAGGTATTTCATGTTTTTATGCCTTGAATGTTGTTTAACGGATAAGATATCATGCATAGACCACCTTCCTATAAAAGGATGGAAGTATCCCTTATATTTTAGCTATCTACTATAGCAACTCCTCCTGAATGTTTTTGGGTGATCAAACAATGAATACATACTCACTCCTATGGCTGTGGCCACTATCTCTAGAGGTGAAGGATTCAATGGAACATATATACCAATGTCATCTCATCCAGATTCCTATAACACATTTGGGGGCCTGCAAGACAGCATATCAACCATCTTATCAAGCAATCTCCATTTAAAATAAAATACACATACTGGGTGTCATTAAGTGCACCTTCAGATCAATGATTTTTGCAAATGACATTCAAGTGCTATTTGTGTAGTGCATTTTTGCTGATAAAAGCAAATTAAATTAGCACAACTACAAGTGTGCTGATAAAAACTAAAACCCAACAGCAGTACCATTAGCTAACAAAGTAATATTTTCTCTTTACTGCGTTCTGCCATTTAGTTATTATCCTATTGGAAATCTAATTATAATCCTTTTACTCCCTAGTCAAACTTCACAGTTTTTGCAAGCCTAGCACTGACAAGTGATTTCATTACATTTGATTGCCCGCACCCAGATTGACTTAACTTCACTTGGAGACCTAAAAGCCCTCTCAGTTTCTCAGATTCCCTGTTTGCACATTACTGCAACAGCTCCTTTAATTAATTAGCATGAACAGCAGTAACATGAACTGCTGAACAGAAAATAACATCATTTTATGATCGCAGGGAGACTTCTCTCCTTTTGCATGTTTATATCTTAGTTAACTTTCGTATGACTATATTTCATTGTTAGGGGATATCAGTATAGTCGACAGGGCATGTTTCTTAAATTTTAAAAAATTGACACCATCATCTTAATAATAATAGGTAAAACAAACACAGGATATGAAGCTCCTAAATTTTAGGATATAGACAACAGCCTTTATGAGCTGACTTTATTTTAAAGAAATAAAATACTAAAAAAAAAGTTCATGGGCCGGGCGCGGTGGCTCACGCCTGTAATCCTAGCTCTCTGGGAGGCTGAGGTGGGCGGATTGTTTGAGCTCAGGAGTTCGAGACCAGCCTGAGCAAGAGCGAGACCCCGCCTCTACTAAAATTAGAAAGAAATTAATCAGCCAACTAAAAATATATAGAAAAAATTAGCTGGGCATGGTGGCGCATGCCTGTAGTCCCAGCTACTCGGGAGGCTGAGGCAGAAGGATCACTTGAGCCCAGGAGTTTGAGGTTGCTGTGAGCTAGGCTGACGCCACGGCACTCACTCTAGCCCGGGCAAAAGAGTGAGACTCTGTCTTAAAAAAAAAAAAAAAAGTTCATGGATGATAATATCATAAAGCACAAGGGCATAGTGACACATTGCTCCTGTTTCTGCCACTGCATTTGTTTGGGGATACAAAACAAAACAAAACAAAAAACTAGGAACTTCTTTTTGCAAGTGGAATGGCAATCTTTGTAAATAATTTTTACAGTTTGCCTTTTTGACTACATGTTTGACAAAGACACAAGATGATTTAGAACTGAAATATATTTCCCTCTGATATTTTTCCCATAAATATGGTGGGATCTTAAATAATTTTCCTTCTTTTTGCTACTAACACATTACAAGTAGATATTAAATCCAACCTAAATGCCGAAGTAAACCAAAAATTTGATGTAAAATTAAGCCTACCAACCCTTCTTTTTTTCCCCTATGAACCATTTTTATTCAGAAAAAAATATGTGGGAGCTTATTCAGAATACAAACTTACCATTCAAAGACATAAAATTCATGATATTATCTATGTAGTACCTGGTAAAGGTGCCACTGAAGAATTAAAAACAAAATGATAAAGTATGACCTGACTCTAAGAGCAGCAGATACAATTTTAACATCTATGTGTTTAAAATCTGTATTTTAGAGCATGATTTAACATATAATATAGAACATATAAAAAATCTTTATAATATGAAATATATGTTAATGTGTATATTCTTATCCATTCTCTTGAAATCAATTTGAGCAGTGTGTATCTTTTCTTTTTGCTCCTTGCTTAGTAACCTAGAACAACATTCCTCTAATGAGCTTGAGATGTCTTGC